CGGGCTGGTTCTGGCCCCCGGATCCGGTCCACTCGGCTGTGTGCCGGCCGAGCTTGCACAAAGAAGCCGGACCGGCGACTGTGACCCGGAGCTCCAACGGGCCGCTGCTCTCTACAATCCTCAGCTCGCACAACTTTTGAAGGATCTCAACGGTCTGATCGGCACTGACGTTTTCATCGCAGCGAATGCTTTCCAAATACACATGGGCTTCATCACCAACCCACAAGCCTACGGTAAAAAAGCCCGGCTCGGTTTTGTTATGTTTTCCGAACCCGGTCTAATAATCTACTGGAAATATTCAATATAGAAAAATATTTTTATTAGTATATTGAAATGTACGTGGCGCATATTCATAATGTGAGATCACGTGATACTCACTTATAGGTGATGCTTGGTTGCAAGTAAAAGGGGGAACTATTAATGTATTCCAATTTCATATATTTTATATTTTTGTTATTTAATTTAAAGTAAATGAAATACAAATTAAAAATTAAACATAAATATTTAATATTTTCATCTAGTTTGTAAAAAAACAAAAATCGAATTAGTTAAGTTGTGAGCCATGTTTGAGCTGAGGCTAGGAGTTTGTTTGGGGCAATTGTAGCTTATTGAATAATCTGTTGATACGCTAGGTGCGGTGACTATTACAAATTTTTATTTATTTTGAAAAGCCAAATCTCAGTCAGAAAGTTGTCACCGCACCTAGACAGGTGCGGCGTGAAAAAATTATTTTCAGCGTTTTGAAAATGTATAAGCTGCCAAAACGCTGTTCACCCAAACATGTCATGTGCTTTTTTAAAACTCCACTGCACCAAATAAGCTGCCCCAAACGAACCCTAAGCTCTAGGGTTGCCTTATTCACAATTGAAAAATCTATCAGACATCTTTTATCGACACATATGTCATTTCCCTTTTTCAACACAATAAGACAAAATATCATTGGGAATGATTATGTGCAGTGAGGCTCAATTTATCCATCATCTGCGTAGATATCTCATTTTCATAAGTGTCTTATTTATGATGATGTTGTACGCATTTCCCTTGACAGTGCAACTGACACAGAAGATGTTTTTTTTGAGCCACTGCTGATTTCTCTTATATTTGGTTCGAGAACTTGTCAAACTACAAGCCTTTCATTGTCATCTTTGTGTAGCTGCACTCTTCTCCATTCACTTCTTCTATTCCCTTGACAGTGCAACTGACACAGAAGATGTTTTGTTTGAGCCACTGCTGATTTCTCTTATATTTGGTTTCGAGAACTCGTCAAACTACAAGCGTCTCATTGTCATCTTTGGGTAGCTGCACTCTTCTCCATTCACTTCTTCTGTAAGTCTTCAATCTTTGCCACCTCCACTTTACCTTGCTCAGTAAAAGAAATCACCTTTATGTTCAGAAAGTTGGTTGCAATGTGCCCATAGACATGACATTTGAAACAATTCCTGACTTAAATGTATTGGGGGTGTTGGTCTGGTCTATTTTCTTATCCTTTTGTATTGGCTTATTTTCTTGTGGGGTGTGCGCCTGGGTACTCTTGTCTGTGTGCTTTTGCTACTCGATTTGGTGGTAGAATAATTTTTGAAGGGTGGTGTGGACTTGATGCTCTGGTAATGCCTCTCTATCTTCAGCGCTAGGGTCTGGACACCTTGTAATGTCCAGTATGACTACAACTACACCACGTCATCAATGGACAATCTCAATCCCCCAAAATATTGAGCTATGGTGTTTTCAGTAGGGCTCCTTTGGTTTACCTTTAAATAAACTTATTGGGAGGATGGATGCAGCGGCTGAAATTCGATGCGAACAGTGGTTGGATACGAACTAGGGGTGAGAAATTGGCAGTTTCCTGCTGTAAACAGCAGATGGAAGCCATGTTGATGGCTACTCGGCTGAAAACAATGAGCCGCGAAACGGCGAGGGGGAATCCATCACCTGTTCTTGGGCAAGTTACAGGCACAACACTTATAAAAGGAAGAGGCTATAACGTTCTAGAGAGCAAAACTAAAAGAAAAATCTCCAAAATACGTAAAATAAAGCTAAAAATTTAAACAACCAGAATACAATAAAGGCTAAGAAAATAACCTAATTGAAAAATAGAGAAAGGGGAAAGAACTAGGAAAGGAAGAAACAACTGAAGGAAACTTGCTGAAAATAATAAATAGAAAAAAAAAGTCACAATCTGTTAATTCCTGTGATCGTGGGATCCACATGCTGCTGAACTGCGGAAGAAGCCCACATCCCGCATCAAGAAGGTTCCAGGAAATTTTAACCTATAAGTCTTGGTCAATGGAAAGAATTGATACTCATTCCTTGCTGTTATTTTATGGCCGTTTTTTACTGATTAAAAATAATCTGTCGATAAACTAGGTACGGTGGCTATTACAAATTTTTATTTTTTTGGAAAAGTCAGTCTGCGGTTAGAAAGTTGCCACCGCACCCAGATAGGTGCGGTGTGAAAACGCTGTTTTCAGCGTTTTGAAAATGTATAAGCTGCCAAAACGCTGTTCACCCAAACATGTCATGTGCTTTTTTAAAACTCCACTGCACCAAATAAGCTGCCCCAAACGAACCCTAAGCTCTAGGGTTGCCTTATTCACAATTGAAAAATCTATCAGACATCTTTTATCGACACATATGTCATTTCCCTTTTTCAACACAATAAGACAAAATATCATTGGGAATGATTATGTGCAGTGAGGCTCAATTTATCCATCATTTGCGTAGATATCTCATTTTCATAAGTGTCTTATTTATGATGATGTTGTAAGCATTTCCCTTGACAGTGCAACTGACACAGAAGATGTTTTTTTTGAGCCACTGCTGATTTCTCTTATATTTGGTTCGAGAACTTGTCAAACTACAAGCCTTTCATTGTCATCTTTGTGTAGCTGCACTCTTCTCCATTCACTTCTTCTGTAAGTCTTCAATCTTTGCCACCTCCACTTTACCTTGCTCAGTAAAAGAAATCACCTTTATGTTCAGAAAGTTGGTTGCAATGTGCCCATAGACATGACATTTGAAACAATTCCTGACTTAAATGTATTGGGGGTGTTGGTCTGGTCTATTTTCTTATCCTTTTGTATTGGCTTATTTTCTTGTGGGGTGTGCGCCTGGGTACTCTTGTCTGTGTGCTTTTGCTACTCGATTTGGTGGTAGAATCATGTTTGAAGGGTGGTGTGGACTTGATGCTCTGCTAATGCCTCTCTATCTTCAGCGCTAGGGTCTGGACACCTTGTAATGTCCAGTATGACTACAACTACACCACGTCATCAATGGACGATCTCAATCCCCCCAAATATTGAGCTATGGTGTTTTCATTAGGGCTCCTTTGGTTTACCTTTAAATAAACTTATTGGGAGGATGGATGCAGCGGCTGAAATTCGATGCGAACAGTGGTTGGATACGAACTAGGGGTGAGAAATTGGCAGTTTCCTGCTGTAAACAGCAGATGGAAGCCATGTTGATGGCTACTCGGCTGAAAACAATGAGCCGCGAAAAGGCGAGGGGGAATCCATCACCTGTTCTTGGGCAAGTTACAGGCACAACACTTATAAAAGGAAGAGGCTATAACGTTCTAGAGAGCAAAACTAAAAGAAAAATCTCCAAAATACGTAAAATAAAGCTAAAAATTTAAACAACCAGAATACAATAAAGGCTAAGAAAATAACCTAATTGAAAAATAGAGAAAGGGGAAAGAACTAGGAAAGGAAGAAACAACTGAAGGAAACTTGCTGAAAATAATAAATAGAAAAAAAAAGTCACAATCTGTTAATTCCTGTGATCGTGGGATCCACATGCTGCTGAACTGCGGAAGAAGCCCACATCCCGCATCAAGAAGGTTCCAGGAAATTTTAACCTATTAGTCTTGGTCAATGGAAAGAATTGATACTCATTCCTTGCTGTTATTTTATGGCCGTTTTTTAGTATAATTGTGCGTATCATGGCATTCTAGGATGTAGATTTATTTCCAGCACTAGTTTCTGAGCTTTAAACATAGGCGTTCGGCCATATACACCAACATTTCCTTACCTTGCATTGGCGAGAGCCTCAAGCACTGGATCCATTGCTTATTGAATTGCTAAAATTATAACAATTGTTTTTTCTGGGTGAATTATTTGCCAGCGCTCAGGACAGATGGCACTAGAAATAGGTTCATATTTCCAAAAGGTGATCAAATAAATACTTTGCTTAATAAGTCCCTGAATTAGTTATTCAACTGCCCTAAGATTGTGGACATGTGACTTGTGTAGGAATAACAAATTCTTTCGATTGTAATACATACAAAATTGTCTGAATCAACGAGTTCATTCATTTTTATCATGTTTATTTTACGTACATTGACATGTTCATGGCAATTCAAACTATTATGTCGTTGAATTTCCTTGTTTGGATCTTGCTTCTATGCAAAGAAGCGTCCAACCATCCATCAATAACAATACATGCATCCTGGTCCATATGGTCATTTAAGATTGGATTTATGCATTTTCATTTGCTTGCATTAGGGAACTCAAATGCAGTTATCTTGGATGGATGTTTTTGTGTAAATTATCAGTGCATTCGTGTATTAATGGAAGCCTGTTTGGCTTTGTGATTGGTGTTTGCTTGTATACTTATACATTCATTTTGATGCTTGCTTGAATGGCTCTCATCTCTGCAGCAGCTTGTTATATTACATACTGATGCAAAATCTAGTATTGTTTCTAAACATGAATGCTTAATTTTTAGGTTCATTATATTCCCATTATGGATAGCTTTCATAGTCTTCACCATTTGTTCTTTGTCTCGGGGAAATTATTAAAGGAACTTGTTAGCTCTCCCAATAAAGCACCTCCGAATTCTCAAGACTACCTAAATTGCATAACACCGTCTTCTCAGGGAGGATTTTTACCACAAACTTTCATTGGTCATTCACCAGCTAGTCCTTTTGATTGCCAACCAAATCAAGTGGACATTAAATCTTGGGAGAAATTCAGCTGCTTGCTTTCTGCAATCATGTGGTCTCCTGTATTAAAATGCTTAGTTGAGGGCAAGGAGCTTATAAATAACACAAAGTGCCAGGTAGTTATCTTGAAATATCTTCCTTCAGAGATGTCATTACTAGTAAAATTATTTCTGGCTGTCTCCTCTGTATTTTTTATCTATGTATCTTAGACTGTCTTTTGTCTCATGGATCCTCCACGAATTTTAGTTTTTTATTTCAGATGACATGTGTTCGGTTGCTGGAAACTCTTCCTACTATTTATGAAAAGCTAAGCTTATCTTTCCCCAAATCATTAGGAAATGTGGTGCATCTGGTTCCCAGTTCATCCGACTTCAAATGGCTTTTAGATTTGGTAGATTGGGGTAGATCACATCTCGTAGTTGTCATCAGGCACTGGAAACTATGCATGCAATCTTTGTTGAGCTTTTTTAAAGTGTCATATGGTGATTCAACAGCATCCATGATAAGTACCATTGAAAAAGTAATATCAACTGGTTAGTTTTTCTGGTTATTACATGCCAATTATAAATTCCTTTGGATGATTTTTTAATGATAAATTATTTTTCATTTCAGATACAATTATGGTTGATAATTTACAGGAGCAGATGCTTACTTTTACTGTCTCTTTGTCTCGTCTTGCTTCTTTCAGAGATGACATAAGAATTCTCAAGCCAAAAACATTACCTTTAGAACCTCATTCATTGAAAAATGTCTCATATTTTGATGCATCTTTATCTTTTGGTTCAAGTTTTAATGCTGTTAAAATGAATAAGAAATATGTAGAGAAAGAAGTTATTGCTCTTTCTGATGATGAACCTGAGAAAGTTGCTTCCATTGAAGTGGTAGACTCATGCTGCACAAGTTCAGGCTCACACCTGTTAGCCGAGAATTCTCTTCCAGCTACTTGTAAGGGCTTGTTACCAGATAGTGAGGCCAAGTCCATGATTCCTATTTCGAAGTATGACAAGCTTGAGTCCTTTCCTTCTGGAATTTTTGTTGAGGACGACTTGTGTTCTTCTTCTTCGGAGGATGATCTTGTAAATAATAAAGCATCTTATCATGAAAAATCTGTTGCTGGTAGAATTGGAGATTCTCAAATGCAAGGAAGAGGTCTTTGTACAAAGGCTTTACGAAGTAGTAACCTTGTTAAATCTTCTCACAAAGGTCCAAATGTTCCACAAAATGGTCAATCATTAGCTAAAATTCTTCCTAACAAGACAACTATAACTGATCCACTCCTGGAACTTGAAGTTGCTATGAACAAACGGCTGGTTCAGGCTGACGGTGATGATTCTTTGGAGCTTGCACTGGATCATACTAGTCATCCTAAGCCGTTAGTATCAAAGACAACTGTATTTGCTTCTAAAAGAAAAGTAATACAACTTGAAATGCCTGCAAATCACAAGTCTTGCTCACTCAACCGAATGGAAGTATCTTCCAGAAGACTTAAACCTCCTAAATTGGATGTTTGGTATAAGTCCATTTTAGAAATGGATTACTTTATGATAGTGGGGCTAAATTCTACTGATGAATATGAAAAAATAACCTACAATTTGAGTCAAGTTCCTTTACATTTCCAATCTTCAGATCATTATGTTAAAATTTTCCAACCATTAGTTTTGGAAGAGTTCAAAGCTCAGTTGCACCATTCATCTTTAGAGTCATCTGCAGAAGACAAGCATTGTGGCAGTCTTTCTATAGTTTCTGTTGAAAGAATTGATGATTTTCATATAATTCGAGGTTGTCCTGATGAGAAAGAATCTGCAACATCTCAAGGCTGTCTGGAAAATGATCTTGTCTTGCTCACCAAAGAGCCCCTCGAGAATTCTGTCCAAATTACTCACGTGCTTGGAAAGGTAATGTGTCATTGTGCTGTTTTATTTCAGCGCATTTTGTCCGCAAAATTAGTTATTTTTGATGTTTTGCTTATATTTCATGACATTCATATTTCAGGTGGAAAGGCGGGAGAAAAGTCATAAAAATTTCTCTATTATTCTAGTAATTAGATTATATCTTCCAGATACTTGCTCACGTCTAATCAAACTGAAGAGGCTTCTAATCGAACGGAGTAAATGGTTTTTAAGTCGAGTTATGAGTATAACCCCTCAACTAAGAGAATTTCAGGCTCTTTCATCTCTCAATTCGATTCCTATGCTTCCAATCATCTTGAAGCCTGCTGCTCATTCTCCTGGGCATTCTGAACCACAAAAAGTAGACCTAAGTAAGCTTTCTCAGTTCATGCAAGACATGTTCAAGTCATCATTTAATGTCACCCAGCTCCAGGCTATTAGTGATGCTATCAGAGCACATACTCCACGAAAATTTGAACTCTCACTTGTCCAGGGTCCTCCAGGTTTTCGTCCTATTTATTTGCAGATTAACGTTCAAAGAATGATTGTTAGTGCGCTGTAAAAAATTGGAAGTTCTGATCTGTGTTTTTATGCAGGAACTGGTAAGACCAAAACTATTGTTGCTATTGTTAGTGCGCTGCTTGCTCTGCAAAGACTTCCAAAAAACATGTTTACCAACACTACCAGAGAATTCAGTGCCTTGTGCAAACCTAGGACACATCTTCCAAATTCTGTAGCTGTTTCAAGAGCTTGGCAAGATGCTGCTTTTGCGAAGCAATTGCTTATGGATGCAGAGAAAGAGGCTTCAATATCTGTAGAAAGTGCTTTGAAAGGAAGGATCCTTATTTGTGCACAATCAAATGCAGCAGTTGATGAACTTGTATCAAGAATTAATGAAGGGATTTTTGGGAATGATGGAAAAATATACAAACCTTTCATTGTGAGAGTTGGCAATGCAAAAACTGTTCATCCTAACTCCCTTCCTTTTTTTATTGACACACTTGTCGAACAAAGGCTGGCAGAAGAAATAACAAGCACGGGAAATGGTGATGGAGGAAATGATTCAAATGCTGAGACTTCAAGATCACTTCGTTGTAAACTAGAGAAGCTAGCTGAAAGAATACAGTACTATGAATCTAGGCGTGCTAAATTAAAAGATGGCGATGCCAACTTGAATGATATTGCTGGTGGTGTTATTTCTGAGGATAATATTAAAGAAATGTCTGATACAGAAATAGGGGCAAAACTGAACAATCTCTATAGGGAGAAAAAATTAGTTTATCAAGATCTTGCTTCTGCTCAAGCTCGAGAAAAAAAGTCTTCTGAAGAAAGCCGGGCCCTTAAGCGTAAGCTTCGGAAATCCATCCTAAGAGAGGCTGAAATTGTGGTGACAACACTCAGTGGGTGTGGTGGTGATCTGTATGAAGTCTGCTATGAATCCTTTTCAAATGGCAGTTCAGGAAGGTGTTCGGATCAGTGTTTCTTTGATGTAGTTGTGATTGATGAAGCAGCTCAAGTATGTTATTTCTACTCTATTTATTTTTTTTAATGGTTTGACTGATGAGGATAATTAAGTTCGGAATTTTTATAGGCGCTGGAACCAGCCACTCTCATTCCACTTCAGCTTTTGAAGTCAAATGGAGCCAAATGTATAATGGTAATAATTATATTTATGACCTAATTGTTTCATTGTCCAGGTTTTAAATCATGTTTTTGATTGTATCTTTTGAAGGTTGGGGATCCAAAACAGCTTCCTGCTACTGTACTTTCCAGCGTGGCCAGTCAATTTCTTTACGAGTGTAGCATGTTTGAAAGATTGCAGAGGGCTGGGCACCCAGTGATACTGTTAACCGAACAGGTGAATCAACTTGCATTTCAGTTTTTAGATTTTCTCAGGGAATGGTCTTCCTTAGAAGTTCTTTATTCTTAACCCTACTAACATTTATTAGTTTTTTTCACCTAAATTAAACTAATATGTTATGATTCACCCAATCTGCTCCGAAGCTTGGAAAATTTCATTGATAAGCCGATATATATAATTTCTACTTAATTTTTCTCAATGCTAAGAAATGTTTCCTTCTTTTTAGTCTTGACCTACACAATATCAAAACTCTTAGAAACTAGGAGCTAACAAATATTTAATGTTTCTCTTGCCCTTATTCTGATGCTCATGTGAAGTTCTGCCATTTAATTAACTCATATATAGTTTAAAGATTGTATTGGGTGTTGATGTTTGAAAACCTCTTCTACTTGTTTTTTGTTTTTATTTTAGTTTCTTTGATTATGATGGTTTGGTAGGCTAGGCCGTTGAAGTTTTGTGAGGATTGGGCCAATAATTTTAGATTGCGTGTGGGTGAGAGCGGTTGGGGGATGGAGGCATGGAAATGCACTGAAAAATAACAATTAAGTGTGCCACTTCATCTTTTAAAATAAACTGGCATACTTCTTATGTAATCGCAATATTTGGGCTCGAGATGGTACTGGGAATTGGAATTTGGGTGGTGGGCTTCTCAGCACTTCTAATAGATTTGGGTTGGCAGAGATTTTATTTATTTATTTATTTTTTTGAGAGAAAAATTTTCGCATTACTGTTGAGGTGGGATTGCTAAATGGATGTTGTATAAAAAAATGGATTGTAGGTAAGGCAATTGAAATGGATTGAGATCATCATCAATATCATCATTATTGTTATTCCAACTATTTGGGATTGAGTTTGAAATTCTTATTTTTCATTTTTTTTCCATTGATTAGTACTTAAAGATGTTGAATTTATTCTTCACAAATCATTTTGGATAGTCTCTACATTTTTAATCATCTATCGGTTTGTTTATCTACTCGTATAATTGGCATATTTTCTAACTTTTTTTAGTATGTTCACACAGCCTAAGTCTATTTTCAATTAATTTTTTATTTTTTTTAATGGGTATATTTTCTCTATTCATTGAACATTTGCAACCACCCAAGCCTTCTTTTAATTCCCTTTTCCTTCATAATACTGCCATCTCTCATTTAATTTAATTAGTTTTTTACTTTAACCTTTATGATTTTTCTACAAATCCATTTTGATGTTTCCATTTCTTTATCGCTCAATTCACATTTCAATGATTATTTTACTTCTTAACACTCGATTCCATATGATATTATGTCTAATTGCTATTTTATAAAATTTACCTTCAGGTGTTCATGATATTTAGTCATCCCATACTAATCCTTAGAAGCTTCTCCATTTTAGTCGCCCAATATTAACTCTAATTGTGTAACGTAGGAGAACAGTAACATAATATTTTATAGTGAAGGGATAAGGAAATGCAATGTTGTTGGCATGCTTTTTGATTGTCCTCCCGTTGTGTCACTTCTTGCCATTCTGTGAAATCTTGATTTCCTTCCAAAGTAGAATGTCTTTACTTCTGAAATAATAAACAAGTGATTTACTTCTTTCCC